TGAAGCCCCAAACCAAGGCCAAACAAACCCTAAAAGAAGTGAAGCCCTAAACCAAGGCCAAACACACCCCAAAAGAAGGAAAGCCCTAACCAAGCCCAAACAAACAAACCCTAAAGAAGTGAAAAGGAAGCCCCATTAAGCCCTAAACAAATCCAAAAAATGCACCACTAGGAAGCTCAAGGGATGGCATCAAGCTCAGGGACATGTCCCGATGATCAAGCCGAGTCGACATGGACGGACCATCCTCTCAACCTCCAACCGAATCCGTCCTCAAGATGTCTGCCCTTCAAGAATCTACATAAGTCCGAATCTACATAAGTGGAAAAGGGGGGTTGAGCTCCAGAATCCTTTTTACATGAGTTTTAACAAGATCTCTTCATATATATAAGTCTGAAAAATTTGTTTGGGCTGGCCACAAAAAACTGTCTTTCTTCTCCTTCTTTCTGTTACTTTTTGCTTGATTGACACCCCTAACGGTTGGCTTTTCTCATCGCCGAAGTAAGTACGGGGATTTCCTTTCGTCTGCGACAAAAAGTCATCTCCTACTCCTCCCCGTCTGTATTTCGTTACGCTTTGTTCTGATTTTGGTTGTCTCATCGACAGGTTTCCAGGTTTCCTGAGCTCATGGCACTGGCTTGCGTGGTTGTGCGACATAACTCACCCCAAAACCACTGCCTTCATAGACGCCAAGGATGACATGCAGCTTGGCCCGCGGGTTCCTGAATGAATCAGATTTGCTGCATTCACTGGTGGGATTTCCTTGTTGTTCCGTCCTTTTGGACCGAAAACACACCAAAAAGAACCGAGCGAAACATGGAACGACGCGGGATTCACTTGCTTGGCGTTCGATGGGTCATGAGAGGGGAGGATGAGGAATCAGATGATGCGCTCAACCAGCCGTTCCTACCCCCAAACAGGCGAGCAGCATGTACAAACTAGTGCTGCCACCTGGGCAAGCTTTCGGATCCTTGCACAAAACATAGACGATCCCTGAAATCCCAACAAGTGGGATGGTACACCACCTGTTTGTATAGGGGAAATTCGAGGGAACATGGAAGGTCTACCTGGACCCTCCAGTTCGTAGCTTAGAAAATGGGACATGACCCCATAAAAACAGGTACGACTGGTACGTCCCCATTTTCTAAGGTACGAACGGGTCGACTCCAGGTTCTCACTCATCTTCCATTTCCTGCTCAGCCCCCTGTCAGGTGGTTCAGGTGGTGCAGGAACATGGAAGGTCTATTTCCCTAGGCTTCCAAGACCATTTAAAAAATGGTTGACCGGGTTTTTGTAGTGTAAAATCCTTAGTTGATTTGGTAAAGCCTATTGAATTAATGGTTGTTGGAAGCCTACATTTTTCCACTTTCACAACTCCTTTCAAGGAGTGTGTGTGTGTGTAACCCTTGGAGTCATAGGGATGCTTTTGCATTTATTTGTTTTATTGCAGGGGGACACAGCATTTCACTGGGACTGTGTCCAACGAAGCTACCAGTGAAATGGGATATCCAGCTTGGCCAGCTGGACGTACCTGCGAATTTTCCTTCCTTTCTGCATGGCATGAGGCTAAGCCAAGAACCTCACTCGGCAGACAAGTACGACCGTCGTCACTCTGTCTCTTCGTCGTCGCCTTGAGACTTTGGCCTCTTTTCCTTTTAAGACCTCCAGGCTCCGATGGTCCTTACTGGTACTCTTAGGAAATGGAACCCTAGGCCGGCGTGTGGCACCGCATTCAGTTCCGTACACAATATCTCAAGTGTGTTTGGCTTCGTGCCAACCCGGGATGAGCCCGCAGAGTGCCTCCCGTGGACCCGTTGAACGGGTGTATGTCTTTCTCTCCCTTGCTCTGGAGAGGTAGGTGTCCGGAGCGGACAGCAGGTGGCCTAGGCCGTACGTCCGATGATTTTTGTCCCATCTTTGGAATTCCAAGTTGGCTCATGCCTTTACGTGACCGCAGCGGTCAAAGCAGCCAGCCGCTTCGGCAGGGCACAAGGTGACCACAGCGGTCAAAGCAAGTTTAAGGTCCATTGGGACCTGTGGAGAACTTAGCCCCCTTCTCCCCTGCCCCCTTTCCCCCCTTTCTTTCCTTGCTTTCTGGGGTTTTCCTGAATGGAAGACTCAGGATCACCCCTTTCCTTCTTTGGTGTGTCCCTGGACGATTCTTCGTAGCTGGGAACACCTGCCCTTTCCTTTTCTCTCCTCTCCCTTTCTCTCCCTCTCTCTTTCTTTCTTTCTCTTTTCCCTCTCCAACTTCCTTCCTCCTTGGGTGTCCCTGGATGCTTTTGTCATAGCTGGGAACCCTTCTCCGCTCTTCTTTCGGTGTGTCCTTGGACGCTCGCGTCGTAGCTGGGAACACCTTCCTTCCTTCTCTTTCCTTTTTCTCGTCTCTCCCCACCCTTCCCTCCTGTCTGGACCTTTGCTTGGGTTGCTACTAGGGGCTCCTGGCCTTCCTTCTAGGTCGCTACTTGACGCTACTTGAGGTTCCTGGCCTTGCTACTACTTTGTACCTTTTGGCGCGGAGCTTAGAATCTTGCCTCCCTTCGGGGAGGCGTGTGTGTGTAACCCTTGGAGTCATAGGGATGCTTTTGCATTTATTTGTTTTATCGCAGGGGGACACAGCATTTCACTGGGACTGTGTCCAACGAAGCTACCAGTGAAATGGGATATCCAGCTTGGCCAGCTGGACGTACCTGCGAATTTTCCTTCCTTTCTGCATGGCATGAGGCTAAGCCAAGAACCTCACTCGGCAGACAAGTACGACCGTCGTCACTCTGTCGCTTCGTCGTCGCCTTGAGACTTTGGCCTCTTTTCCTTTTAAGACCTCCAGGCTCCGATGGTCCTTACTGGTACTCTTAGGAAATGGAACCCTAGGCCGGCGTGTGGCACCGCATTCAGTTCCGTACACAATATCTCAAGAGTGTGTGTGTTCTGCACCACACGGGGGTTCTCGGTGGCTTGGCGATGCGAAAGACACGTCCGTGGACGGTACGGGTCTTCTGTGAAAACACCCCCGAAGCAGGGACTGTCCTGAATGAAACACATCCCTAGGGCTCCAAATACCTTCGTTTCGAAGGCGTGTGGGGTGGGTGCCAGGAGGGTCCAGTCATACCTTCTGAGGAGGTACTTGGAGCCCTAGGGCATGGTAACTGCCATGGGTATCTGCCAGAGGTGATCTTAGCCGCTTCGCCGGTACAGAGCGAAGACAGCAAGGCATCATCTCATCGTGTCCAGAATGGAAGACGGGACATCAAGGGGTTGATGGGGACGGAGGAGGGAATTGGCAAGTTAGACCTGAGCTTGGCTTGGTGGAAAACACGTCCAGCATTTGTTCGAAAGGGACGAGCAAAGTAAGTTTCGGTTTCACAAAGCAAACCATTCCATCGAAAGAGCTGCATTTTGTCTCTTAATGTCTCTTAAACCTGGGTGAGACCTACATCAGCTGCCACATATCAGCTCATCACTCGGCTGTGGGTCAAAACCCGGATCCCAATCCCTGGTAGGTTGACCTACGACTTCTCGTACTCGTAGTATAGTCTATTCGGTTCTCTTGAAACGTCCCAAACCCATCCTTTCGCAGCCTTGCATTGCCTTGCATCCTTTTATCATCTTGCCAGGAACCTCGTCCTTGAACAAATTAGAAGTGAGATCAGTCTGAGACCGTTTTGAGGCATTTCTAGACCACTTCCACCCCAAGGCCCCAAAGCTCGCCCTCTTCACCCAGCGCATGTTCCATCTCCGAGCTGCTCGGGCTTCGGCCTGATCGGAGAGGTTGGAGCCCATCGCTATTATTAGGTCGGAGGCCATCGCTAGTAGGATGCTGGAACATGAGTTCACCAACTTCTTTCCATGGAGTCCATCGTACCGAGCCCATCGCTGCATCCTTCGACTGGTCGGCCCTTCGTGGCTGCAGGAGTCAGCGGGATCAATCATCTCACCCAGTCCGTGGGACTGGAAGAATATTGAATACCAGGGTCATCCTGCCTGGGTGTGGCTAGACTAGCCTACCTTACGTAAACAGGCCAGACAGGGCACCCAGACAGGAAGTGCTAGGTATATGCCGATCAGTGGGTAGTGTCTGGGAAGGTTTCTTCAGGTCCGTCTTTTTCAGATGCTGGACCGCCAGAGATGAACAAACGTTTTGTTTCTGTTCAATCATCTCAAGTTTAATCATCTCAAGTTTTCAGATGATTGTTCAATCATCTCAATCAGCTCCAAGCAAAGTTTTGTTTGTCTTTGTCAGACGCTCAGCTATAGCCACCACCCGTCGTGGCAAGTGTGCGCCGTCCGTCAGGACGCCTGGCCGGTCCAAACCTTAGCCCGTTACGGGCTCCAGTCGTACCTGGTTCGGTGGGATAGGGGTGGGTGCCAGGAAGGTCCAGTCAGACCGAACCTGAGGAGGTACGACTGGAGCCCGGGTCGGGTAGGGTTTTGAGACCTCTCTTCAACCCCTGACCCGAGGAGTTGGG